AGAGAGAGAGAGAGAGAGAGAGAGAGAGAGAGAGAGAGAGAGCAGGCAACACCAGCGCACAACACCAAAAGGCAGTACATCCTCTCCACAGTGTGAACTGCTATACAAATAGTGGTGCCGATACCGTACACTTCTGTACACTGTCCTAACATCACAACAACTGCCCACTGAGAAAAGGCACCCAAGCGCCAACTACTACTACTGCTCACCTCGTACTACTTGGTTATATAAGCACACGGTGATCGGAACCAGTCCTCTTCTCTCTNTGCCGATACCGTACACTTCTGTACACTGTCCTAACATCACAACAACTGCCTACTGAGAAGAGGCACTCAAGCGCCAACTACTACTACTGCTCACCTCGTACTACTCGATTATATAAGCACACGGCGATCGGAGCCAGTCCTCCCCTCTCTTCTTGCTGCCCAAACTGTCAAATTGTGGTTTAGTTTTGTCCATCATTGAAAATGCCCATCGACTTCTACACTCACCCCATCAGCCCACCGGCTCAGGCTGTTGTCATCACCGCCAAGGAGCTTAATGTGGAGCTCAATGTGAAGGAAGTGGACCTTTTCGGTGGAGCCACACGAGCGCCGGAGTACTTGAAGGTAGGTGCATGTTTTGTGTGCTAGTAGTGCATGTACCTGTTTGTTTGCTGCAAAAACTCTTGTTTCATTCAATGTTTCCACTTGACTTAGATCAACCCCAGCCACACCGTGCCCACGCTGGTTGACAATGGTTTTGCCATCTTTGAGTCTCGTGCCATCATCACCTACCTGGTCAACAAGTACGCTCCGGAGAGCTCGCTCTACCCAAAGGACGCCCAGGCGCGAGCCAACGTCGACAAGGTGCTCTTCTTTGACGCCTCTTCTTACTACCCGACGCTCAAAACGGCCTTTGTAAGCTTTTGCTTATCAGATTTTGATAAACCTCAGTTTTTTTAAATATTATCTTCTGGCACTCACTCTAGGTCCCCATCTTCCGAAGGAAGGAGCAGCCACCGCAGGAGGCAATCGACGATCTGAAGGAGAAGATCGCCATTCTGGAGGCAATTCTGGGCGACAGCCAGTTCATGGCTGGCGACAAGATCACCCTGGCCGACATCTCCCTCGCTGTTTCCATTCCCATTGTGAAGCACATGTTCAGTGGACTGCTCACCGAAAAGCTGGCCGCCTGGTACGATCGCGTGGGCAAGGCACTGCCTGCTGTTCAGGCGTACGAGGCAGCTCTCGCCAAGATGACCGCAGAGCAGAAGTAAACACGGCACACAGTAATGTCAAACGCAGCAAAACAAAAAACATTTTTTAAAATAAAAGATCACTTTTAATCTACTCTTCACTACTATCTTTTAAAACTGTTCACATGATTCTGCCATTCAGTTTCCAGCCAAAGCTGTCGCAGATCAAGCCAAAAACAAACCAACAGGGCGCCTTCAACGCCATTGTACAACAAGTACACCGCCAGTGTGCGGTAGATCGATGACAATTGATCTACTCCTTCCTTCTCATCAGTTTTTAAAGTTATTAGCGCAAGTGAGAGTACGCTGTAGAAGGTGCAGGGCACAAGGTGAAGGAGAAAGTAGAGGCTGACCACGGGCATGCTCTCCTTGACAGTGCCGATGGCGCCAATTACGATGATCAGCGTGCAGACGATGTAGATGGCCGCTATTAGAGGGCGATATTGCTGAATTGGGGATGGTAGAAAAGCCATTAATCTTTAAAAGTAAAAACTAAGAGGATGGCGTTTGGGCTGCTGCAGCACTTACCTCAGCAGTAATTTGTGAATGAAACAAATTGAGCAGTATGATCACGCACATTCGCACAAATGCCACCGTGCGAAGTCCGCTGAACAGCAGAAGAAGCCGCTTCTTTAGATAAAATCGAGGCGGCAGGTTGGCTCTACTGTCTTTACTGCATTTCGTAAAAAGGTGATTCATAATGTTGTGTNGGCAGGTTGGCTCTACTGTCTTTACTGCATTTCGTAAAAAGGTGATTCATGTNGCTTCTTTAGATAAAATCGAGGCGGCAGGTTGGCTCTACTGTCTTTACTGAATGTCGTAAAAAGGTGATTCATAATGTTGTGATGAGCGAATATCAAATGATGAAGACAATTTTAGTCAATTTAATAATAACTGAATGATATCTTCTGATTGATGCCGATATTGCCGGCAACTGAATGAGAGCTGCAGCCAAACTGCTGGACGCTTTTGCTGAGTAGAAATCATAATGCTTGCTGCCATTCGATGGATGCTGATTTTGTTTTGGAGCGAAAAACTGGTGTGTTTAAACAAGTTGGGCCTATTTTTAGCTTTCATACAGAAGGAAAAATCTGATCAAAAGAGTTCTGCTGGTGTAGAGCAAACAGACATTTTTATCAAACACATGCAGGGCCGTTCATTTTTCATATAATAGTCAAAAAGATTTGTTTTTGTTTAAAGTACATTCAGTTTATTCATATCAACCATCTATTGACACTAAAAGCATATAAAGAAATGTAAAAAGCGTTTATTTTATCAACTTCTTTTCATTTCATTATTCATATTTTGTAAAACTTTTTTTCAAAATTTGACTTTTTATATTTGAACAGGTAATAAAATTATTAAAACAATTTTTATTTTATTTATAAGTAGGCGTTTACAAATCATTAACGTTATCACATAAAAGCTTTATTTTTATAAAACAAAGCAAAAACAATTAAATTTTTCACTTTTAAAGTTTTTAACAATTTTTTACATTTTCAATCAAAATACCTGTTGTAGTAGTAATAAAAAAGAAATGTCAAAATGACCAAGTACGCTGCAAAGATGATGACCATCGTGGTGATAATGGCGGCAGTGTAACAGGCACTTTTTGCCGGTTTGTTCAGTGACACTTCTGAATTAGAAACTGAAAGAAAAACGGTTTTTGACTTGGTAGACATTTTTACAATGAGGTGTTTATATTACTTTGACTTCAATTAGACAGAATTTAAACTGTTCTTTAGGCGCATCTCTTTCAGCACTATTTATGCCCATTCACTTTTCATTTTGGCCTTCAAACTGGCCATCAAATCACCAGTCAGCTTGGTGAGCGGTCACTACCCTAAGGCTGCTTGGCATTTATCACAAGACAGCATCTGCCTTTCTTCACATTTTAAAAGAAACAGATTTTGAAAAGTCACCAGATGATGCGTTGATTAATCGATTTAAACTTGA